CGAATACGACATCAGGACGGTAGGGTCGATCAACGGCGACGAGCACACGATGATATGAGGAGACTGCAGGGAATGAGTTCAGCAGGACACTGAAGTGTTTGGGCCAAGGTTATAAGTACTTTTAACAATGGCTGGAATGATTACCTGAGCAGAGAGGTAGAAGGGTATTCGCGACAGGATCTGTCGCATGCCATGGACAGGACGTGTATTCTGTGAAAGTAAAGCCTTCCACGTGTTGCCCAATATTGCATGCGTGTAGGGTATTCGCGACAGGATCTGTCGCATGCCATGGACAGGACGTGTATTCTGTGAAAGTAAAGCCATGCGTGTAGGGTATTCGCGACAGGATCTGTCGCATGCCATGGACAGGACATGTATTCTGTGAAAGTAAAGCCTCCCACGTGATGTCCAATATTGCATGCGTGTATCTCAGGACATACTCACACTTGGACTTTTTCAACTCACAAGTGGACGTAATTGCGAGTATGCCGTCGGACGCTTCAGAGACAGGAACGGTTTTACGAGCAGGCAGTACGATGCCATTTGTTTTTTTTTGTCGTGATCAAATGGCCGACCCGATGGACAGGACGTGTATTCTGTGAAAGTAAAGCCTCCCACGTGTTGTCCAATATTGCTAAGACTTTTTCAACTCACAAGTGGACGTAATTGCGAGTATGCCCTCGGACGCTTCAGAGACAGGAACGGTTTGTCGAGCAGGCAGTACGATGCCATTTCTTTTTTTTTTTTGGGTCATCAAATGGCCAACCCGGGGTAATCCCACTGGGATTCAGACAAGCGTCTGCATATCAACAGTTCATGGGTGTACAGTGTCGTTCTGAGGGGAAGGAACTGGCTTACCGCGCCTGTGTGGAGATCAGAGCCCTCAGTGGGGAGGGGGGGAGCAGAGCAGCAAGGGACGCCTGGCCGTGCCCGTCGAGGAGAGGGTCTCTGCCTCTGCAGCTGTCGTGCCGTGCTTTTTATGCTTCGCTAAGCTATGCCGTACATAGTAGAGCATAGCACAACACAGCACAACATACATACCAAGCAGACAGTGCGACACAGCACAACATACGTACCAAGCAGACAGTGCGCTGCCGTTCGCCGACAAGGAAGTTGAAGAGGCCAAAAGAAAGCCAGCGAAGAGAATTACGTACTTCCCAAGGCTGGAGTGTGAGTGAGCGTTGTCTGCTTTCACTTTCTTTACCGAAACCCTCTTCCTTTCTAGAGGACTCAGTCTGTAGCTGATGCCTGCCTTCAGCCACCATTTCCTCTGCCGCAACCCTCTTCCTTTCCCTATGTGACGTGCCAGGGGTTGGTTGGATGGGTGGAGAGATGGGGGGGAGATCGATAGACGGATATCACTCAGGCCAAAGCTAACACTGGTTCGAGCCAAGACAACGGTGGCTCCGTGCTTGATTACCCAGCAGGATGGTATGACCGAGTATTATCTCGTTGGTCTGTCGATGGAAAGAGCTCACCTTTTCTGGTCAAATCTTGCCTGTTCTTGTTCGTAGACAGAATAGAACAATGCTACCTTATTTCCCCCCGAACATACCTCCCTGTAATCATGGGTGTATTTGGGCAGGATAGAGCCTGCATACATTCATAATGATAGGGAACTATACTCGGTCCGTGCCCGTCGATAGGGAACTATACTCGGTCCGATCTGCTAAGATCTGCTATAATCTGCTATGATCTGCTATGATCTGCTATGCTCTGCTCTGGCCTGCTCTAGTCTACTCCAATCTGCTCTTTTTTTCTCTCTGTTTTTTGCTCTAAAATCCTCTCTAGTCTGCTCTAATCTATTCTGATCTGCTCTGATCTGGTCAATCTCTGCTCTGATCTGCTCAATCTTCTGTACTCTGCTCTGATCTGCTCAATCTTCTCTACTCTGCTCTGATCTGCTCAATCTTATCTACTCTGCTCTGATCTGCTCAACCTTCTCTACTCTGCTCTTATCTGCTCAGATTCGTCTTACCCCGTCTGATCTCGTCTGATCTAATCCAGTCTCTTCCGCCAAACACAACGGCCCATCATCATGACTGCAGTAGATCTGAACAGACAGGTTGCACACCTTCATAATTACGGGGCATTGTATTCGGGAAAACACAGTAATGGGGTCACGTCTGATCTGCTCTCAGTCGGCTAGAGCTGGTCCGTTTAGCGACTTCTTTTCCCGCCTGCTGCGGCCCAGACAGATCTAGTCCACTCTCTGCCCAGCCATATTCTGCCCTGGTCGTCGACAGGCGCTGATCCACGGAGACGACATAACAACTACGGGTCCAGTGTTGTCCGGTAAGATATAATTCGGTCTGCTCTAATCTGGTCCAGATTGATCTGGTCCGCTAGCCTGGTACAGCCCACCGCTAATCCACGGAGACACCAGGACAGCAACTGGTCCAGTTCTGTCCGGTAAGATCTACTTTGTGTCTGCTCTGATCTGGTCCAGACCGATCTGGTCCGGCGGGGGCCTGGTACAGCCCACCGCTGATCCATGGATAGAACAGGCCAACTACTGGTCCAGTTTTGCCCGTTATGCTGCTCTGATCTGGTGCGCCGAATGACCTGGTACTGGCACAGCCCACGGCTGATAAATGGAGACACCAGGACAACTACTGGTCCTATTCTGTCGGGTAAGATCTAGTTTGGTCCGCTCTGATCTGGTCCAGATTTATCTGGTCCGGCGGGGGCCTGGCACAGCCCACCGCTGCTCCATGGCGACAACAGGACAACTACTGGTTCCGTTTTGTCCGGCAATATCTAATTTCGTTTGCTGCTCTGATCTGCTCAGGCTAATGACCTGGTCCAGACGAACTGGTTCGGCGAATGGCCTCGTACAGCCCACCGCTGATCCATGTAGACAACAGGACAACTACTGCTCCAGACTGATCTGGCCCGGTGAATGGCCTGGTACAGCCCACTTTGGTCCCGTCCTCGTACCAGGCCTGGTACAGCCCACGTCGGTAAACTGGGATGGCCCTGGTACCAGGCATGGCCCACTTTGGTCCCGTCCTCGAACTTGCCCTGACTGATCCCTTTTCGTCCTCGTATCAATGTGCGTCGGCATGGCCCACTGGGAGGAAAGGAACAGGTGGGGATGATTTGTTTTCATTTCCCCTTTAGATCTGAGATGAAAATGTGCATCTAACTAACGGGCCTAGCTCCGTTGGTAATCCACATGAACTGTTGAATTACCGACCCGAGTTGGGAATGCACATCCAACCAGATGAACAGAGTAGAACAGTTCTGAAGTACCTGGGGGCGGTCGGTTCAATGATAATATCTCAAGGCCGTCGGCCTTTGAAAAAAAAAACAAAAAACTGTGCATCTATGGCCACGTCAGCCGCGGCCTGCGAGAGAGGATCAGAAGAGAGGGCTAGCGTTCTTTTTTCTTCTTTCGGGGGGGCCTACCCTTCATTCTGAGGTTGGATCAAATTCTGTCTTTCTATTACTAATACATATTACCACTTAATTTGTGGAACTTAGGATTTGAACCCACGACGATGAGTTTGTTATCGATGCGAATTCCAGTCAATCCAATCTTAGATCGCGGCGCAGCTAATAAGCACTGCGCTAGAGAGGGAGAGGGAGAGAGAGGGAGAGGGAGAGAGAGGGAGAGCGAGAGGGAGAGGGAGAGGGAGACGGAAAGGGAAAGGGAGAGGGAGAGGGAGAGAGAGAGGGAAAGGAAAAGAGAGAGGGAGAGGGAGAGCACGCGGAGAGGGAAAGGGAAAGAGAGAGGGAGAGGGAAAGGGAAAGAGAGAGGGAGAGGGAGAGGGCGAGGGAAAGGGACAGAGAGAGGGAGAGGGAGAGGGAATTGAGAAGTTCGACTCAGGCAGTACTCGCAACACACGCGGGCAATCATCAATGCACACAGGCACTTCTACAGATGCATTCGCCCGGGCAATCGCGTTGTGGGACCTGCTGCAAAATGAACCCAGCTAGTGAGATGAACTACTGGTAGTTTAAAAATAGATAATTATTACGAACAAATCACAGCAGCATTACAGTAATACAGTGATCATTGGTCCAAAACTTATTGGTTCTTTCTCTTAAATTTTATGGTTATTCTCTCTATTGTTGTTATCTAGTTTCTGTTTCAAAGTAGTTCCCAAAAGCATAAGAAAACTCCTTCCCTTTCCTAACTTTTATTTTTATCCAACTCATTGTTATGGCTATATTCTGTCCAGCATTCTTCAGCTTTTTACGAGTTTATTCCCACCTCCTCACATTCGCTTGGTTTCTTCTCGACTGCCGTCATCGACCTTCTTCCCGTGCTGCAGGAGTTACAAACCGTCGTCCTTACATGGCCATCGGAGCAAGGAGGACATCAGTTTATTCCCACCTCCTCATCTCCTCACATTTGCAAATGGAGCAAGGAGGACATCAGTTTGCGATAGCCATTTGCAATGAGGAAAGGTCACCGCCGGGATTTCTTGAGGTGCTGTAGGTGTGCCGTTACCTTCAGAACCAACAACCGAATGAGGGCGCGACGCGCTAAGAAAGAGAGAAAGAGAGAAAGACAGAGAGAGAGAGAGAGAGAGAGAGAGAGATGGGACCGTAGCTCGTCGGTGCGCACTTGCCCACAATACGGCGATTTCTCTCTCTCTCTCTCTCTCTCTCTCTCTCTCTCTCTCTCTCTCTCTCTCTCTCTCTCTCTCTCTCTC